CATCAACTTGTTTTACAGGAGTGACTTAAATCAGCCTTGTGTTGAACACAGTGGTATCCATTCTAGAGATTGGTCTCGATACGCTCATAAGTAAGACGAAAGGAACCGGTTTCCTCACAAATAGGTCTATATGTCTCTCCAGGCTTGCGTTTATGTTAACGAGAGTAATGGGGTTGAAAGGGGTTAAAGAATAGTCCATTGAGCAGGCAAAGGAGGTTAAATTTTATTATTGATGCTGCACTTGTCGAGATCGAGACTAAGAACGTCACCGCAGCCACACCAATAAAATGGCTATAACTTTCGTTTTTAATAGGAGGAGGTTTTCTGAAGATTCCACGACAGTCTTTTTTCTGTTTGAATTTGAGGTCAACCATGGCATAGCCTCCTACAATGGTAAGAACTTGGCAGCTAAGTCTGAATAACTTGTTGAAGCTGCCAGGTGTCGACAAATGTCTGTTCGAATGCAGTCAGTACCCTGACTAACTGAGACCTCAGCGTTATAGAGGTCACTGTAGGAAGGAGGTGACCAATACCTTAGAAATTTGTTACTTATGGGCACCAATTTCGTGTCGTGGATCATAGGATTTTCTATAACCGATGACTGTCCACGACTGCTTATTTAGATTCCAAGCCAAATTATTTGGCTATAAATTCAATATCCGCCAACTGTGGACACGCCCCACCCCGTAACAATTAGTCCGACACCCCGTAGTCGGGAATCGTATAATTAAAGCATTTTTAAATTTACCAATAAGGAAAGGAAAAACGTCGGATGTGGTCGAACACATGACATTCTAAATTCTATGTCTCGGTGGGATCGGATCTACGTAGCACGATTTGAATGAAATTGGACGAAAATGTATATGGGAAATAGATCTAAATCTGAACCGATTTCGATTTCAAAACTTATCACTTGTTATTCTACACTTACTTCGGTAGACTGTGCAAAATTTCATATCAATTAAGGGGACACCCATTCCCCAACCATTCTCGATTTCTAAAAATTTAATTAATTTTTTATTTAATTCAATAATGTTCCTTTAAAATTGCAAGTGAACAACTTTTTAAGATATATATCCTATTTATTAGGTAAGCATCAAGGGAAGCAAAAGTGATTCTCAATTTTAATAAGTGTTTTTCTCGAAACCGTGATTTTATGAAAGGCGGCCACGATAACTCAAAAACTAATAATCCAATCCTTTCCACATTTTTACACGTTATTATGTACCTATATACCTATCGTATGAACTAAGATTAATGTAATCGGTCAAGACCTTCCCTCAAAATATTTTATTTTATTATTTTTTTAATGTATCCCATTTCACCATAAGGAAAATAAACCAAATACAATTTTATTCATTATAAATGTGTTCTATTATTTTATTGGTTTCAAATCTTTATATAATTTTTAACTTGCTGAAATCCCCGTTTTCAAAATGGGACACTTCTCTACATTCCAATTCGTCTTATTTATTGCGGCTGTTGTTTAACATCATCACAAGAAATTTGATTGGTAATTTTCAAAGGCAACAAGGACACGTTGTTCTTTTTCAAAGCACTGGCTGCCTTATCAATCACGGTGGCACTGGGTATTTGGGCACGGGTTAAAATCCAAACAATGGCTAAGAAATTAATTAATAAACGTCATTCGATTTCTTCGATCCCTTTAAATCTAAAATTAAAAACTTACTTGAATGCGAGTTATTATTTAAAGGTGTACAGGAGTAGACCGTGGCATAATTATCATAATCTGTATCCAAAATCCAATAATTTGTGGTTACATTATAGGCTGGCGATACGGGAAATTTGACAAATAATTTTCCAGGTGAAACTATGGTGGCGGAACCAATAATATCTTCATAGATATTGGAGCTGGAAAAATAGAAAATATATTTTTTTTTATAAATTAAATAATTCGCAATAAATAAAATAATTCCCAAAAAAATAAATATATATCAAAACTAAATACTGCTTTTAAATAACAGAATTAAAATTATTAAAAAAAAATATGTATCTTCACTTACTTCTCATTCACCAAACTATTTTGCACTCTAACCGTGCCATCAGCATTTAGGGTATATTTCGCCGTTACACATTTACCCTCATTTTCAAAATACACCGGATATTTACCATATTCATACCATGAACCTAAATATTTTTCTAAATCCAAACTATCTACAGTTTGAATATTTTCTGGACATGGACCGGAATAAATAACTTGAGCAGAAGTGCCAGCAAGTATGGCACCCAATATGATTAGAATAGTAGATCTGCAACAAAAACACAATTTAGAGATCAATTACCAAAATCCTTGTTTCACTCCTTGCTTACTGTTTATACATGGCGATTCCTTTATGCGAAACTTCTTCTACGACCGATTTCTCTGAAATTTTCGAGCAATATAAGCAAACTTTCTTATATGATCATCGTTTTTTATATTGATTTTCTATGGGGTTCTAAAATTAAAGTATTTGTTTTTTTTCATTTTTAATTGCAAAGTCGCAAACACTTAAAACACAGACGTACACACACACACTCACATTTTATTGATTCATTAAGAAATTATTATCTTTTGTTTATCGATTTTGTAGTGTTATTGTTTTTATTTTCGTTGTAAGTGTTTTTTTATTGACTTTCTCACCGTGTGTCTAGCTTTGAGGGAGGGGCAAGCATTGTAAACAGTGACCACTTATATTGTTCTTATCAGTGAAGTTGATTACATGTAGATGTGTTTTCGAACACCAATATTGGTAAATAATTGTTATGAAATTTTAAAAACTAAGGCTCATTTTTTGACTTGGTCGCCAATTTTTCTAGTGATGACTATGCATTTTTAAACCCGTAATAGCGCCCTAATAAATATTCTATTGTTTCCTTTATTCCATTGTTTCCTTATTTCCATAAGAGTACCTCTGCATTGGTGTTACAAAATTCGCATATGTATTTTCCAAATTATTTTGATGCATTCCATTACTTCCTTATTTCAGATACTTACCGACCTCTGCATTGATGTTACAAAATTCGCATATGTATTTTCCAAATTATTTCGATATAAATGCTAAATACAATATATCAAACAAGTGTTGATACGAACAATAAGACCAAGCGAATGTTTAACATAGTATATGATCTAGGTAAATTAGAAAAAACGAGTCAGCACATAACGATGAAAAAATTAAATTTAAAAAAGAAAAATAAAACAACAAAGTATTGTTTCTTGTTCACACTTTCTCTTTGACGAGAAACCAGTATTTTATGTTTTATGAATTGTATGCATAAAATGCAGAAATCCTGACATTGGCTACATTTGCTGAACCCTATACACTAGAATATACGAATTATTTTTTCTGTGCTCTTTTAACTCATCTTACCAAGTTTCTGTTATTTTGATTGGAAAAGTTAGTTACGACCTTCAAGTGAACTATGTAAAAACATAGTCCACTATTAGAAGACCTTCTATTCCTCTATAGGAATATCTCGACTATCTCGACTTCTATTGGAAGACGTTTGGTCATCATATTAGAAAACATTCTGGTCTTCTATAAGTAGACCTTATCATCTTCTATTAGGAGACCTTTTGGTAGAAAACCAAGACTTAGAAGGCGTTATCATTTTCTATAAGAAGACCTTATCATCTTCTTTTAGTAGACCAGCTATTCGTCTATTAGAAGACCTTCTGATCTTCTATTAGAAGACCTTCTAATTAGAAGACCTTCTGGTCTTCTATTAAAATATCTTCTCGGCTTCTATTAAAAGGCCTTATCGTTTTCTATATGAAGTCTTTCTGGTGTTCTATATAAATACTTCCTGATCTTCTATAAAAAGGCCTTCTATATGAAGACTTTCTGGTGTTCTATATAAATACCTCCTGGTCTTCTATAAAAAGGCCTTCTAGTCTTATATAAATGAAGACCTTCTGTCTCTTCTTAATAAAACCTTCCATAAAAATACATTCTGGTTTTCTATAAGAAGACCTTCTGGCCAGTAGTGTAATACCTTCTGTTATTCTATAAGGAGACCTTGTGGTAGAAAACCAAGACTCTGAAGGCGTTATCATTTTCTATAAGAAGACCTTATCATCTTCTTTTAGTAGACCTGCTGTTTGTCTATTAGAAGAGCTTCTAATCTTCTATTAGAAGACCTTCTAATCTTTTATAAAAATATCTTTTCGACTTCTATTAAAAGGCCTTTTTCTCTTCTATATGAAGACTTTCTGGTGTTCTATATAAATACCTCCTGGTCTTCTATAAGAAGGCCTTCTAGTCTTATATAAATGAAGACCTTCTGTCTCTTCTTAATAAAACCTTCTATAAAAATACATACGGGTTTTCTATAAGAATACCTTCTGGCCTTCATTCTATAAGAAGAGCTTATTCTCTTCTAAAGAATACCCTATCCTCATCAATTATAAGGCATTCACGTCTCTTCTTAAGAAGACTTTTTGTTCTTCTATAAGAAATAATAAAACATTTCAAATTATCCACTTTTACTGTGAGGAGGTTTTTCACCATATGAGAACTAGCTCCCATTTGAATTTTACGACTATTTTATTATTTAATTGATTAATTTTTGATTAACTACTACATATTTTATTGGATACAAAATTCTAATCATTAATTCCAATATTCTTTTCATTCTCTTCCAGAAGATGACTATCTGGACGATGAAGAACCAACAACATCACAGAAACCCATGATCGAACCAACGGTAAAAATCAAATGTTTATCGGGTTCTATGTTGATTACCATCAAAGATGCACCCGTTAATCATGAGACTGGTCTATTCAGTGGTATGGTTTATCCAAAGGGTTTATCGAAAAATTCCACATGCTTAACGGAATATAGGTGAGTGAAAAAGTGTTTTTTTTTTCTTTCGAAAGACAATTTAATGTGATGTTTGATTTTATTTATTTTTTATTTTACAGAGACCACGAGGGAACATTACGTTACAAATTGCCATTGCGCAGTTGTAACACCATGCCTCAAGAGACGGTAAGTCTGATAATAAAATATTTAATTAATATTGGATAGAGGAATTATAAAAAATAGGTCTTCTATAAGAACAACGATTGATCTCCAATAAGAACTGTGGCTTTTCTTTAGGTCATATAGGTAAAAGACCTAAAACTATTCTATAAAGAAGACCTAAAGCTCTTCTATGAAGAAGCCCTAAAGCTCTTCTATGAAGAAGACCTAAAGCTCTTTTATTGAAAATCCATAAAACTCTTCTATGGATAAAACCTAAAGCTCTTCCATGAAGAAGACCTAAAGCTCTTCTATGAAGAAGACCTAAAGCTCATCCATGAAAATAAAGCTCTTCTATGAATAACACCCAAAGCTCTTCTATGAAGAAGACCCAAAGATCATCTATGAAGAAGACCTCAAGCTCCGCTATGAAGAAGAACTAAAGCTCTTCTGTGAAGAAGCTCGGCTATAAAAAGACCTAAAGCTCTTCTATAAGAAATACTTAGGCTCTTCTATAAAGAAGACCTAAAGCTCTTCTATAAAGAAGACCTAAAGCTCTTCTATAAAGAAGACCTAAAGCTCTTCTATAAAGAAGACCTAAAGCTCTTCTATAAAGAAGACCTAAAGCTCTTCTATAAAGAAGACCTAAAGCTCTTCTATAAAGAAGACCTAAAGCTCTTCTATAAAGAAGACCTAAAGCTCTTCTATAAAGAAGACCTAAAGCTCTTCTATAAAGAAGACCTAAAGCTCTTCTATAAAGAAGACCTAAAGCTCTTCTATAAAGAAGACCTAAAGCTCTTCTATAAAGAAAACCTAAAGCTCTTCTATAAAGAAGACCTAAAGCTCTTCTATAATGAAGACCTTAAGCTCATCTATAAAGAAGACCTAAAGCTCTTCTACAAAAAGAAGACCTAAAGCTCTTCTATGAAGAAGACCTAAAGCTCTTCTATGAAGAAGACCTAAAGCTCTTCTATGAAGAAGACCTAAAGCTCTTCTATGAAGAAGACCTAAAGCTCTTCTATGAAGAAGACCTAAAGCTCTTCTATGAAGAAGACCTAAAGCTCTTCTATGAAGATGACCTAGAGCTCTTCTATAAAGAAGATCTAAAGTTCTTCTATGAGAAAGTTTTCCTTCTCTTCTACCAAAAAATTTTGAAAATCCAAAAAATAAACCAATTTTAATTTCAAAATTATCTAAATTCTAATATAATTACATATCCGATAACAAGACACGTCAATCGAAATGCCAAAGCAATCTGCAAAAATCCCCATACAAGTAGCAATTAATGGCATATTTAAAAGCGAGTTATGCCTCTAGCAGTTCATTAGATTCCAATCACAGTAGACAGAGAACTACCAAAATGACACAAGTGATTGAGAGACTGGGCATTGGCGGAATTTGATATCAAAGTACAGGCATAACAAAAACTGGTTTGTGGCCACAATTGTGTTTTTCGTGTAACTTTCGCCAAATCAAAACCCTTTTGAAAGAGAAGCCAACCAAACGTCATCATCAATCTCCGGCATTTTATTTTTGGAAAGAGGTCTGCAGAATGTTTTTTTTTAATATTTTATGCTTGCATGTTAGCTTTTACTACGTGTCTGATTTCACTAATAAGAATGAATTAATGAATATTAAAATTTTAGCCAAATCTTCTTTGCACACAAAGAACAAAAAAACACAACTACAAACATTCATAGCGGCCTTAATAAAACAACCACATAAATATGCAAAAAACAGATTTAGGACTTGTTGTTCTTTTGTTTGTTATTATTGCTTATATGAGAAATTTCCTGCTTACCAATTATTGTTTTTGGGTTAAATCTATTGTAAAATGAGGTAAACATACATAAGCAATCACATTATGATAAGCTTCAGCACTCAAACAGAAAAAAACGTGACTATTTGCCATTAGCAGCAAAGAAGAAGAGATGGCAAAAATGAAATTTCAAATCTTAGAAACAGTGCGAAATGAATAAAAAATTAGTTTCTTCTATACTCATAAAAACCGCACACACACACACGCAGATGATTTAAGTTCTTATTCTCATTCTCTCTATTCGTTAACTGTGTTCCCAACAAAAGACTTAAGCCACAAACCTGATTGAACTGCAAAGCTTTGATTAAACTCTGCACAAACAGCTATGGCATTAATTAAACACTTCTTGTTTCATGTCTGATTTTTATCAAATTGAAATTAAAAGTGAACATTTTGTTTATTTGGAAAGTATTTTAAATGTTAATTGAGAATTTTTTATAGAAAAAAAGAGGCTTTGTCATAAACCAAGAGGAAGATCATAAAAAACAGCAACTAAATTAAAAATTTATTTTGGGGAATTTTCGAAAATAGAAAGTGAAGTTATAAACGTTTTTAATCACAATTCCAATGAAATATTTATTGAGGAATGGTATGCCAGGGAGATATTTCAATTTCTTCCAAAAAAAAAAAACAGGGAGAAAATGAAAGTACATAAAAAATATAAATTAAAAATGTTAAACAAAATAATTTGATTTAAGACATGAAAGAGGAACTTCTAAATGTAATGAAAAAAAAAACAAACAACTATAAATTAATTTAGAAAAGTCATCTTCATAGAAGAGTTTGAGGTCTTCTTCATAGAAGAGCTGAAAGTCTTCTTCTTCATAAAATGACTTGAGGTCTTCTTCTTCATAAAAAAACTTGAGATCTTCTTCTTTACAGAAGAGTTTGAGGTCTTCTTTGTAGAAGAGCTTGAGGTCTTTTTTACAGAAGAGCTTGAGGTCTTCTTCATAGAAGAGCTGAAGGTCTTCTTCATAGAAGAGCTTGAGGTCTTCTTCATAGAAGAGCTTAAGGTCTTCTTCATAGAAGAGCTTAAGGTCTTCTTCATAGAAGAGCTTTAGGTCTTCTTCGTAGAAGAGCTTGAGGTCTTCTTCATAGAAGAGCTTGAGGTCTTCTTCATAGAAGAGCTTGAGGTCTTCTTCATAGAAGAGCTTGAGGTCTTCTTCATAGAAGAGCTTGAGGTCTTCTTCATAGAAGAGCTTGAGGTCTTCTTCATAGAAGAGCTTGAGGTCTTCTTCATAGAAGAGCTTGAGGTCTTTCATAGAAGAGCTTGAGGTCTTCTTCATAGAAGAGCTTGAGGTCTTCTTCATAGAAGAGCTTGAGGTCTTCTTCATAGAAGAGCTTGAGGTCTTCTTCATAGAAGAGCTTGAGGTCTTCTTCATAGAAGAGCTTGAGGTCTTCTTCATAGAAGAGCTTGAGGTCTTCTTCATAGAAGAGCTTGAGGTCTTCTTCATAGAAGAGCTTGAGGTCTTCTTCATAGAAGAGCTTGAGGTCTTCTTCATAGAAGAGCTTGAGGTCTTCTTCATAGAAGAGCTTGAGGTCTTCTTCATAGAAGAGCTTGAGGTCTTCTTCATAGAAGAGCTTGAGGTCTTCTTCATAGAAGAGCTTGAGGTCTTCTTCATAGAAGAGCTTGAGGTCTTCTTCATAGAAGAGCTTGAGGTCTTCTTCATAGAAGAGCTTGAGGTCTTCTTCATAGAAGAGCTTGAGGTCTTCTTCATAGAAGAGCTTGAGGTCTTCTTCATAGAAGAGCTTGAGGTCTTCTTCATAGAAGAGCTTGAGGTCTTCTTCATAGAAGAGCTTGAGGTCTTCTTCATAGAAGAGCTTGAGGTCTTCTTCATAGAAGAGCTTGAGTGAGGTCTTCTTCATAGAAGAGCTTCACGCCTTGAAAAAAAAAATAAATTAAAAACATGCACGCCTTTTCTCTGAAACCAAAAATGCAGCATGGCCTTCTTATAAGATATCTAAATCTAATCTAATCTAAACCTTCACCACTTTGGTTATATTCAACAGATAAATCCTAACAGACGTCGCATTTTTAAAGGACAGGTTAAGTGAAATTAAATACATAAACATGTCATTCTGCTGCCGATACTAAATTTTTCATTTGGCCAGATATAGAAGCTATATCTAAATCTGAACCGATTTCAGGAAACTTAACACATATCATTCTAGACCTACGCAGATCTACGCAGTGCCAAATTTCGTGCAAATCGAGATATATATAGGGACTTTGGTGCACCATTTACCTTAAATCGGACAGAACCATATATATGGAGCTATATATAAATCTGACCCGATTTTCTCGAAACTTAGCACACATCATTCTGGACTAATTTAGTACTCTGTGCCAAATTTCGTGCAAATCGAATGATATATAGGTACTTCGGTGCACCATTTACCTTAAATCGGACGAAACTATATATGGAAGCTATATCTAAATCTGACCCAATTTTCTCGAAACTTGCCACACATCATTCTGGATGTGGAATTTCGTGCAAATCGAAAGTTATATAGGGACTTTGGTGCACCATTTACCTTAAATCGGACGAAACTATATATGGGAGCTATATCTAAATCTGAACCGATTTTCCCGAAACTTGGCACACATCATTCTGCACCTAATTCAGTACTCTATGCCAAATTTCATGCATGATATGTAGGGACTTTTTGTACACCATTTACCTTAAATCGGACGAAACTATATATGGGAGCTATATCTAAATCTGAACCGATTTTCTCGAAACTTGGCACACATCATTCTGCTCCTAATTCAGTACTCTGTGCCAAAATTAGTGCAAATCGAAGGATATATAGGGACTTTGGTGCACCATTTACATAAAATCGGACGAAAATATATATAGGAGCTATATATAAATCTGAACCGATTTTTCCCAATTTCAATAGGGTTCGTCCTTGGGCCAAATAAGTGACTTGTGCCAAATTTCAGCCAAATCGGATTATAACAGCGACCTGTACTTTGTTTACAATTTAACATCTACAGACGGACAGACGGAAGGACGGACATGTATAAATCGACTCAGAAAGTGATTCTATGCATATTCTCCTCCACTCCTTTTCTCTGGAACCCAAAATGTCTTCTTCTAAAATATCAGCTTGGCCTTCATATAAGATATCTAAATATCTTAACCTTCAAAATCAAAAAATCTACTCCTTAAAACCCGAAATGTCAAGGATTTATTATTTAGTT